ACCATAGCCCAAGCTATTAAGTTAATAACAAAACCATTTTCGGGTGATCCGAAAGAGTTGCATTCTTTTTGTGACAATGTGGAGGCTGCTATACAGGTTACAAAACCCACCATGAGAGTAGTGTTGTTGAAATTTATAAGAGCTAATATTATTGGGGAAGCACGAGACAAAATTATTAATCGAAATTCAGAGCAAACATGGAATGAGATTAAAGCTTGTTTGGAAGAACACTACATGGTAAAGCACACTCTGGAATATTATGCAGCTAGTTTATTTCAAACTAGACAGTCATTCCGAAACAGTTGTGCAATATAGTGCTAGGTTAGATGCCCTATCAATGGAGTTATCGCAGGAAATAAGAGCTCGAATGATTAGACCCAGATCATTATGAAGACGGAAAATTCTACAAACATACTAAAAGATCAATAAATGCAATGCATCAAAATGTATAATACATATAATGAATATATAAATTGATAAACCTGAAGATGATGTCATAAAACATCGAAACATGTCGTTCAAAAATAAAAGCGCTGAATAATGTAATGTCGTACTACGATAGAGGAGCGCCATAAATATAACATAATATACTTTATACTATAAATGTTATAATATTTTAACAACATTATTTTAAATAAGTTTGTGTATAGACTGTGAAAATAAATATATGTATTTGATTCAACACAAACATGACGCACTTAAGATACAAAATGGTAGAAACAGCTTTACAAGAAGAAAGGGAGTTAAAATCACAATGGTTTAAATATCAGTTTCAAATGCCAAGGTTCATGCAACCCAGACTGTTTCAAAATACAAACAGATTTTCATCAGGTCATTACCAAAATAATAGACAGCCCCACATGTAAATGTTATCGGAATGACATGTTTCCGATGTCAGGGTCACATAGCTAGGGAATGCTGCATGTAGACAGTGTGGTAAAATAGGACATGAGACCAAGGATTGTAGGTCCATGAATCAAGGGGCTCAAGGGAGCCATAATAGGGAGTCAAGGGACTCAAAATAGGGGCTCAAGGGAGCCATAATACAGGGGCTCATGGGAGCCATGATAGAGGAAAGATTGTCAAGACTTTGAGGACAGGATTGGGGATGCCCATACCCTGTCAATACAAGTCAAGCAATAAGTTACATGTAACTAATTAAAGGATGAAGTAGGAATAGCATTGTCGGACACAGGGTCCCAAGTATCACTAGTGAGAAAAAGAAGTTTAAGAGGATATAATAATTATGAGGAAATAATGAAACAATACAAGGTATTAGTGGAATTGATGTAAAGATGTACAACTGAGAGTAAATGATATAGAAATACAATGTTATGTAATTAAGGAACTACCACGAAATCTGGATGTGACATTGGGCATGAATTATTTACAAAAGGCAGGGTACATGTTAACTCAGTTCATAGAACCTTATTCCCAAAAGGTAGCTACTTTTGATACTCATGAAAAAGGAACAAGATATGTAGAATCACAAATGTTAAATGACAGTTTAATTTGTGCTACAAGTATGGTTGAATGTAAAAATTCAAAATTTCAATTCTTAGTATTAAATTTAACAGATGTTAGAATCCCTGTGAAACAAACACCTCAACTCATAAAACCACCGTGTCAAAGTAGTCAAAAAGAAAAGAAACAAATGAATGTAGACAGAAAGAATTTATTACATGAAAATTTACGACTGACACATATTCAAGATGGGGCTGAGAAAATTAAGCAGATTTGTACAGAATTCATAGATATTTTTAAATTGCCGGGTGATAAATTAACAGCAACAACAGCTGCTGAAAATTCAATCCCCACTCCACCAATACCACAAGGTAGGGCAATTACATTAAAAAATTATAGACTACCAGAAGCCCAAAGCAATGAAGTACAAAGTCAGATTACAAAGATGTTGGATGAAGATATAATAACTCCAATTAAAAGCGAATGGAATTTTCCATTAATAATTGTTCCTAAAAAGATAGATGCTTCAGGAAAGAAAAATTAACAAATCCCCCTCTTACAATATCCTGATTTTACTCAACCATTCCTTCTTACCACGGATGCTAGTGGTTATGCAATAGGTGCTATTTTGAGCCAAGGAAAGTTAGGTTCTGACAAAGCCATTTGCTATGCTAGTCGAACCCTCAATTCTGCTGAAACTCATTACAGCACCACAGAAAAGGAACTACTTGCTATAGTATGGGCAGTTAAACATTTTCGACCATATTTATACGGTAGAAAATTCACCATTTGTACAGATCATAAAGGTCCAGTTTGGATATTTAATGTCAAAGACCCGAGCTCAAGACTCGTTAGATGGAAGTTAATATTAGAAGAATACGAATATGAGATTGTTCATAGAGCAGGAAAGAAACATTGCAATGCGGATTGTCTTAGTAGATACCCCTTACAGTGCTTAAACATAGAAATACAGGAATTAACTCCTGAAAGAAAAACACGTATTATTTCTGAAATGCATGATTGCCCAATAGGTGGACATCAAGGTATAAATAGGACAATAGGAAGAATCCAATTATATTGTAAATGGGAAAACATGTATAAGGATGTAGAAACATATATCCGGAATTGTCAGACATGTCAACAAAACAAAGTTATGAGACAACGAACAAAAACTAAGTTAGAAATAACAGATACAAGTGAAGAGGTGTGGGATAAAATGTATTTGGATCTAGTTGGACCATTTAATTTAACTGAAAATGGTTTTAAATATATTTTAATATGTCAGGACAATTTAAGTAAGTATTTAATCACCATTCCTCTTAGAACCCAAAGTGCAGAGGAGTTAGCAGAACAGTTTGTAGAAAAGATAATTTACATTTTCGGTATTCCAAATGTTGTAGTCACAGACCAAGGTGCAAATTTTATGAGCCACATATTCCAGCAAATTTGTAAAATGTTAAGAATTAAGAAAATTCACACAACAACATACCATCCTGAAAGCAATGGAGCTCTAGAAAGAACACACAAAACACTAGTTAATTATTTACAGTGTTTTTGTTCCGGTAAGAATAATGAATGGGATAAATGGATTAGTTGTGTTAGCTTTGTTTATAACACCACACCTCATTCTATTACAAGGTATACACCGTATGAAATGTTATTTGGTAAAAAGGCAAATATTCCAGGTAGTTTGCAGAAAGAACCAACACCTTTGTACAATTACGCAGACACTGTGCTAGGATTGAAACATAAATTAAGGAGTGTTCACCAAACTGCAAAAGAAAGGTTAATTACGAAAAAGGAACTACAATGTAAAAAGAGTCAAAGTAATGAAAAAGAGTTTAATGTAGGAGATTTAATTTTGTTATACAATGAACAAAAAGGGAATAAGTTGGATATAATATGGAAAGGTCCATATGAAATAAAAGCAATCAATCATCCCAATGTCACTATCCAAGAGTTAGGAAAAAGAAAACATGTCACAGTGCATAAAAATAGGATAAAACAGTATTTTTCTGTTACAAATGAAAATAACATGGGCACTGCTGATAATAGCGTGCATTATCTTGAAATTTGCCATCCTCTTACTAATTTTTGCCGTAATTAATTGGAATAAAGTTTCAACCACTCCTGGTTGATTATGAGCGAACGCATACCGTTCCAATTTATGTTAACACTGTTTAACTCAGTTGCAAGCACAGTACTGACAAAGTTAAAACTCCACACTTTCACTGCATTCCAGTGATGTGCTCAATGTCTCACACCCTCAACAATAAGTAAATCCTCAGGTAGAAGGCATTCAGCTGTCAGAAATTCAAAACAACAAAATACTAACTGTAAACGTTTCCCATAAAAGCATCGAAGTTAAGTGCATGAACCTGTCCAACTTACAACAAAAAGGGGTGACCAAGTTCCAGGATAAAGGGTATTGTAAATATGTAAAATTATAGGATATTCGCCGGTTCCAATTAAAAGTGTCCAACTAGAGGGGTTTTACTGTACTGTAAGTTATTTCTTTGTTTCCAATTGTACTGGTACATTAAACATAGCCAATTGTAATCATATTATTAATTTTTAAACAAGATGTATTGTTAAAGATAACTTAAATTTGCTACTGTGGATATACAGTTACTCCTTTGTAGAAGTGCTTTTTGCAGTGTTTGTGAATGTATGATTAATTTTAGTACCATCTTTCTACTTGAATAGAATATTTGTTGACTTACCAGTATGCAATGCGGAATTGCAAGGTGATACAACTTGATGTAATCTGTATGGTAATTGGATGATTTATTTGTATGACTAAGGCACTCTTCATTGTAGCATAAATTTAAATTTACTTTAAGTCAGTGGGTATATCAGGTAATGATGCATACCAAAATGTTGACACATTTGAATGTTACATTGTCAGAACAACAGCTCGCTCTCAGATGGCGAGAGATTTTACATCCGACATACTGTTCATAAGAACAAACTCCCACTTTTACAATATGAGAATGATTTCTGCTATAAACAGGCACAATTAGCTGATTTAAGTTTCAAACAGATTGTATTGGTTGAATCTGTGGCGTTAAATGTATGCACACATTCCGTTCACTATTGATATTGTTGGTGTTCACTGCAAGATTATATGCATTTTAAGTAGTGCCAATTAACGATTTAATTGTTTTAATAAGTTTAAGTATTATTATACTCAAAGTTTAAAACATGGTTTTAATATTTTTTGTGGAAGGGAGGTGTAACATAGGTTCTTGTTCCACACATTGAGACTGATCATGGGCAATGTGAAGTGCCTTCAAGTAAGTGTGTGTGTGTGTGTGTGTGGTCCATGTAACTTGCAACTGTGCCTTTAGGGGTAGGTTCTGGTTCCCCACAGTGAGACTGGGCAGACACAGTATGAGGCACCTTCAAGTGTGTGTGTCTGGCCCATGTAACTAGCAGCTGTGCCTTTAGGGGTGGTACATTTTTTGTGGCGCCATTCCCTGTGACATATCTCTCATGTGTATGAGTGGGGTCGTATTTCAGAGGAGAATGACATTAAACCTCTTGACCTGACTGTTCACCCCCACCAAAAACCCCATCTCGTTTGATGTTCTATATAAGCTTATGACCCCAAGGCACAGCAGCAGAAGGTGATCTTGAAGTCATAGCATATACTTCGTGTAACTTTACTGTTCAACTTTACTATACACCTTTGTTCTTTGTCTTGAGTTTTGAATAAAACTCTTCTTATTAGAAAATACGAACTGACTATCTTCTACAATTGGAATACCTAGTTATTTCAACTTATCCGCAAATCCTGAACAATCCCAAACGTATTATACAACATCCAAGGAAGCTGATTAACAACTTTACCTCAGGCACTTCCAAACATATTACACGAGCACAACAACATGTGGAGGAACAGAAAACATTCTTGAAATAGTAGTGTAGCCCTACTACTAACACGCAAAGACTTTCTGCATGTCTCGGTGTATAATCTTGCTTTAACCATTTTTGAGCCAACTCAAGTTATTCTCCACTGCTTCTGCAATGGAACAAATAATGACTAATCTTCCAGAACATTGGTACCAAGTGGCTGTGATACATAGTTTACTTTCTGATCACTGAGCACAGGCAATAGATATTAATATGAATATAACTGTAGATAATACAAGCTACAAAGATATTAGGTGCTTATCTGAGGACAATCTAACAGGATTTTGCTTACTCCTAGGAAGTGAAGTTTTGGCTGGATGTATTCATTGAACCTGATGTAAATAAAAAAATGGGAAAATTTCTATACCACTTTACATTACTATCTCAATACAGCCTATACTACTGTTAGGAAGAAGGTTTTTGATATGAACAGAATAGCTTCTAAATCAAAGTTACAATTTATTTAAAAACTTTATAAGGAAACAAAGACAACTTCACAATAAACAGTTATATATTACATATAAAAGGAAATGTTATACCATAATAAAAACTGTTAAAGCAAACTTTGTACATAACATTATTTTGAACTCTTAAAATAACTTCAAATATGCCTGGAGGATTGTTAATGAAGAAAGATGTATGTAATGGGGACAAAAATGTTGCCAGAAATATCTCATTACAGTATAATGAAAAGGTGGTAGTAAATCCCAGTAATAAATTGAAAGTCCAAGATAGGCAGGAGGGTTTGCAATTGAATGGGACACGTCAGCTATTGGTAGGTATATGCTGATGATGTTAATGATGATATAAATATAATGAAGAACACAGTAGTTTTACTAGAGGCTAGTAGACAGTTGGGACTAGAAGTAAATTCAGAAAAAACTAAGTACATGTTAGTATTTCAGGCAGGCAGAATTATCTTTGTGTGGCTAATAAATCCTTTGAAAGTGTTACAAAGTTCAAATATTTCGGAACAATAACAAATCAAAATGATACTCATGAGGAAGTTAGGGGGAGACTAAATTCCAGAAATGCTTACTACTTCTCGGTTCAAAATATTTTGTCTTCCAGTCTGATTTCTAAGAATCTGAAGATTAAAATACACAAAACAATAATTCTGCTTGTTGTTTAGTGTGGGTGTGAAACATGGTCTCTCACTCAGAGGGAGGAACAGAGATTGCGGGTGCTTGAGAATAGGGTGTTGAGGAGGATATTTGGGCCTAGGAGAGAAGACGATGGGGCGTGGAGAAAACTGCATAATGATGAGCTTAAAAATCTGTACTCCTCCCCCAATATTGTCAGGGTGATTAAGTCAAGAAGAATGAGATGGGCAGGGCATGTCGCATGCATGGATGGGGCAAGAGGTGTGCATCGGGTATTAGTCGGGAAGCCTGAGGGGAAGAGACTGTTGGGGAGACCTAGACATAGATGGGAGGATAATCTCAGGCGGGATCTATGGGAGATAGGAGTTGAAGGCGACTGGATTGTGTTGGCCCAGGACAGGGTCCGGTGCAGGGCTTTGGTTAATTCAGTGATGAACCTTTGGGTTACATAAGCCATCTAATTAGTTTGGTAGTAAATCCCCAAATAATTAGTAATATTTTCAATGCAACATTTCTAGAAAATAGATAAAATAGTCTCTAGAAAATTTCAATCAACTGCTGATTGCAATAACACAATTTCATAAATGATTTATTATATCTTCCTGAAGTGATAGAAGTGAACTTATCAGATATTATTTACAGTATGACAAATAAAGAATTAACTGGATTACATGTCATCTCTGTTTTTTTATTAAAAATATATGTTTTTTTGTATGATGGAGCACTTGCTTAAGATTATAAATTCATCAGCATAAACAGGTTCCTCTGTAGCTTTAAAACATCATAGAACCAATCCCTAAAAAGGGGTCAGCACAAGATGTTGATAATTATTATCCTATTACCCTGGTACCAGCCCTATCAAAAATATTGAAAAGAACAGTTGTCATTCTTTGAGATACTATATACAATTTTTAACTTCTTACAATTTGGCTTTAGGGAAAATAAATCCATGAAAGATGTAATCACCTAAATTCTGGATAATGTAATCAAACCTCTTAATGATAAATTATATGGTAATGGTGTTTCTACAGATTTGTCTTGGGTGTTTGACTGTATCAAGCATAAAATACTTTTAGATACATTATACTAGTATGTGATATGTGGTATCCCACACGTACTAATACAGACTTACCTTGCAGACAGGTTCCATATAGTGCAAATAAGCCATAAAATGGATAATCATTGGAAAGACTATTTATCAAGTTGTTTACCTGTGAAATATAGAGTCCCTCAGGGCTTAGTACATTGCCCCTTACTTTTCATAATACAATGCATTCTGGTTAACTGGGACACATCAGGACTAGAACACTTTGGTCCAATTAAGCAGCTGCCCCAATTATGCGAAGTTCCATGTAGAGAGTTAAAAAGGTTTGTTCTTTAAGATTTGTCCATAATAAACGTCTGTCCCAATTAACCAGAATCTGCTGTATATGTTAATGATGTCTCAAAACTAAACATAGGTAAGACAATTATGTATGCAGATGATACATCAGGTCTAAATGTAGGGATGGATCTAGAAGAAGTTCACAACTGTTAATATGAATAAAGTTACTGAGTATTTTGCAGTAAACACTAGTGTGCACTAACCTGCTCAAATCAGACTTTTTACTATTTCAGTTGAAGCAAAGTAAAATTTTCTCCAACTTAAATGTCTTAAATAATAAAGAGATGAAGATTTCTGTCTTCTGGGTTGTTGCGCTGTGTAGTCCAGTCGATGTTAACCAATGTTTCAGAGGTCATACTGCCTCCGTCATCAGGGCGATGACGGAGGCAGGTGAAACGTTGGTTAACATTGACTGGACTACACAGCGCAACAACCCAGAAGACAGAAATCTTCATACTCACCGCTGTGAAAACCTCAAATCTTACATAATAAAGAGATGCTGAAGAAAATAATACAAATTTTCTCAGTGTTATTCTTGACAGCAACTTAACTTGGGAATCATATATTGGAAAAATCTGTAACAAGATTAGTTTTATTTTATGTATAATTAAAAGATTATCATATTTGGTTGATAGGTGCTAATTACTGCTTACTACGGTTTAATGTTCCCATTTCTCTCTCTTCTTTTTTGGGGGAGGGGGGGCAATGTGCAAAAAAATATAAAAGAGTTTTTACATTGCAAAAAATTGTCATGTATTGCAGGACTGAAGCACACTGACTTCTGTTGAGAAAGTTTTACTGGTCTAAATATTTTGCCCATATTTTCTTTGTACATTTATGAAACAGTTCTATTTGTAAAAGATAAAAGTAATTGTGTAACAAATTACAAGATTCATGCACATAATACTAAATCCAGCCTTCATTATCATCAGTGTGTACACAAACCAGGAAACCAAAAAAGGCCAACTGTTGTAGCAGGTAAATTTTATAACAAACTCCCTGCATACATCAAGCATATCAAAGGTAATCCTCTTTTTAAAGGAAATGTAAGCAGCTTTTCATAAATGGATGTTAATGCTCAACTGAGGATTTTATAAATGATGATTTTACTTACACTGGTTGTTGATTTGCACTTATTGGTTAATTCTTTAGTTCTGTTTGTTTTTATTGTTGTATGACGTTCTTAATAACTTTTGTAATTTTTGCTTTGATATAGTGTTGTTCATTTATTTTATTTTTGTACTTTTTCATGCTACATCAAAGTGATATGTATTATTCTCAATGTGATGCTATATCTTTCTTAATTTGTTGTATTATCATACTTTTGCACCATGTTAGGTGGGTCCTCAGGTTGCAGATGGAGGAACAGCCTCCAGTTAAGGAGATTAGCAGCCAATATATTGAATATGCATTCCTGGACAGTAGATAAGGGGTGCGAAAACAACAACAGCCACAAAATTGGATGGGTTGTATGGAACAACCCAGGCAACATTTAAAGTACTTGAGAATTGGAACATGGAATGTTAGGAGCTTATATAAATATGGATTTTAGGGAGGTGGGCTGTGAGGATGGTAAAAGAATGGCTCAGGATTGGCAGACTTTGGTGTTGTCAGTGTTGGACCTGTGAGTTATATTTTTGTAAGATCCTGACATGTCCTATATCATTGTAAAGTGATTACATGTATAAAAATGAAATTAAATATGATACTGAAGATACTATATTTTTTAACAATTACTTTGTTCTGCATGATATAATATGTTTATAAAATATAGTTAATGTCTGTAAATAGTAGTGAGTCATCCATATATTTATAAGTACTTTAATTTTGGTTATGATTATCGGTACTGGTATATGATGTTCGACGTGCTTGGTTTAGTCCTATGAAGGCTCTATGAAATATAAATTCTTATTCTAACTTATATTGCTCTCAGGATACTCACTGTTTTAATGTGTCTGTACTTGTCAGTCAATTGTAAAACATAGTCTAGGCGAGAACTTTTCGTTTTTATTCATGAACTGCTGCAAGAAATTCTTCTTTTCCCGGAAGCGACCCACTTTTGTGACATGTTATACGAATGCCTTACACAGCAGTTTTGGGGAAAATCTACAAAACAATGTATAGCGTTCAAATTTAACCTGAGAAAAGACGTGTGTTCATACATTCTGCTACATGAGTTTGCGATATTCATCGATATTCCAAAGGTGGTAAATTTTATTTCTCTTTTCGAACCTCGATGCCGATGTAGAAGCCGTCATCCATTTTTCTACCATGCTTCTACATCTTGAATCCTATTTTGTTGCTGTTTGTTGTATATTTTAGTCCAGTATTTCAGTTCGAACTCTTAAAATTAATTTTGGCTATTGTATTATTACGTCTTGATCTTATATCATGTTCATATTTGTATTTCCGATAAATCTTTTGCCGTCCTTTGAAACACCGGTACCATAGTGTAAAATATTTGTTGTTTGAGTAATTTGATTTATAATGTTTGCCTGAAATTTTATCGGACCCATAGGATGTAACACTAGGAAGTTCAACTGTGGGCATTTATTATGACGATAAGGAGAATCTCTCAACCAGCAAAAGAGACCCTTCTCCATATGGATAAAACAGAAACAATATTGGGGCCTGATCGGTTATTGTAGCTTAAACGCATGCTTGATTAGTTAGTTTCGTTAATATAGCTTAAATACATACTTGATGAGGGAATTAATGAATCCCACTGGGCTAGAGATATCGGTAGAATTGGCTATGCTGTGTAGTAAGGTGCACTGAAACTAGTGTAAGTACAAATCAATTAAAACGCAGCATTGTTCTCGCTGTCATTCGGTTTTCAGTGGGTTATAGAAACAACGGAATAAATATTCCGAGTTTTCTGCACATACTAATAGTAATAATGACATTAATTAACCTCCGTAGACCATGCTGAAGAGATAATGATATGAATTCAGTACAGAAGGTGTAAGATTTCTCTGTCGTAATTACAATGTCCGCATTGTAACCATATACGGCCAAAGAGAGTGACATCCATATAAAGGCATAGGTGATCATGGTGGTGGGGAAGTATTCAGGACGTTTCACTTTCTTTTCACAAATATACACTGCTTGCACCACGCACGAAATCTGAAAATTATTTACAGATCAAAAGATGACAAACATTTATTTTCATTAAATAAAACTGCCAAAATTTCAAAATCCATGGTATATAGCACGAAATACTAACTTACGTATTTGAACTGCTTAACATGCAGTAGTACAGTGACCTCATTTCTGTCTTCACAGAGTGCAGCACTTTACCACGGGTGTGGTAGACGTCTGTGAGTCAGCATTGGCTTAAGGAACAGTTGAAACGTTGAGGTACATATTTCTCAGGTAAAAACTTATTTGTTACTGATTTATGATAACAAATCAGCTCTTTGTTATTAATGTATTTGAGCTAAAGTTATCTCATGAATTTTTGTCTTAATGAATTGAATATTCGCAAAATGTTGGTCATTGTTATTAAATTTAGATTTTATAACAAATTGCTAGAGTGCTTTTATTTGTGAAAGTGGTGTGAAGTGTGAACTATTAATGTACCATATACATTGTGTGTATTCAACACGAGCATATGCGTAGCAGATATCTAGAATATCGACTTTTAATTTTCTCATATTCGTTGGATGAAAATATTGACAAGTCCACCTTCTCAAACTGCAGTAAAACATATGTAAGATGTTTTGGGTTTAAAGTGATATTGACGAAGGGTAGTGTTGTATTTTATAATCACTATCCGGTTTTTTCGTAATAAGCTCACCTGTTTCATGTTACAGTGGTTGTTTGTTTGATTTTAACATGTTTTAAGAATAAAAGTTGAGTTTGGTTACACTTTTGTGATTTGTATAGGTTATGTAGTAAGTTATTGAGTTGATTGTTTTGTGGGTATGGAGAGAGACAAGGCATACAAACAAATATGGTGATGAAACCTCTTGGAAAATGTTTGCTTTGAAGACAGGAGATGTGAGGTTTGCATTAACATCAAGGAATCAAGTTGTGAGGATGGAAAATGGATGAAACTAGCTCAGGATCATGTATAATGGCAGGCTGTGATATTAGCAGTGCTTAACCTCCAGGTTCTATTCTCAGAATTCCAGTTATATGCTGAAAATAATCACTTCCATGTACCAGTTTTTCATTCAAAATGGCCAGTAGTGAATCTTGTCCATTCTCAAGACAAGTGTGGAAGTTCAGATTGTGGTCATCTGTGTTGTTGTGCTATGTTGTCTTGTTGTGTACCAGTGTTTTGGAGGTGTGTGTATATATATATATATATTACCTTCATTTTCAGTGTTGAAGTGAGGAGCTGTGGGATTTTGATGATGGTAGACAGAGGATTAGGCTAACAATGCTTGGCCATTGAGGCCCATGGAAGGGAGGGAAGATGGATTCTTTTTGAGTCAATTGGAGAGAGCAATAAGAAAGCACCCTTTTCAGGGCCACCAGAGAGGAAGGCCACATTATATTTTGTCCTTAGAGAGAACATTTTTACATTCATTTTTACTTGCTCCTGTAGAACCCATCAATGGTCTAACCCTCCTCACTTGAGCCCTGAAATTAAGGTGGCATTTTCCTCCAAAATATTGATGTACAACTGCAAGACTGCTTGGTGCAACAACCCAGAAAACCACAATACAAACTCCCACCACAGAATCCTCAAATCCTGTTGATGTGAATAATTTGAATTTGACATGTCTTCATTGTTTGAATTTTTTGACGTAAATACGTCTATACGGAAGGGTCATTCTGCAAAAAAGTGCAACGAACATGCGTAAGATCTATACCAACAATGTGTAAATATGGACTGACAATGGTCACTTTGCGTGCATTGTTATTACCTAAGAAACTAATTGTTACATCATCTGTTAACTCAGCATTGTTGTGTTACATTACTGCCGTCAACAATCTGCTTTCGTTATCAATCGAATATCAAAAGTACTTATCTTATATAAGAATTATTATATTACATTTCATTACATTACATTCAGCTACCACAGACCCATCTTAAGTGTAAGTAATTGAAGTTAAATAAACAATGTCTTAATCAAACTATTTACTCAATTGTGAAGCATATATAAAGGAAATATTTAGAATAAAGGTAATATATAAACTTCCTTTGATTGTATTTATTGCTTAAATATAATTTAAATACAGAGATGTATTTACGTCAAATTCTCCGGAACCGTGGTTCCACTGTCAATTTTTCCGTCATGGAATATTGCTACTCATGTGTACTGTGAATTACAGTGTGGATTGTGTTGACATGTCTGCCTTTATTCCACAGTGTGATCAGAAATGGTAATAATTGAAATTGCTTGGGAATAGAAACAAGAATTTGGAGATTTATAATGTGTAAAATTTAATATTTTTTTATTCCTTTTAGAAACAAAAATGGCATCTCGTAAGACAACTAGTCGTCGTACTACCACCAAGAAACGTGCACAGCGAGCAACCTCCAATGTTTTTGCAATGTTTGATCAAGCCCAGATTCAGGAATTCAAGGAAGCTTTTAATATGATAGATCAGAATAGAGATGGCTTTGTGGATAAGGAAGATCTGCATGATATGTTGGCTTCTCTAGGTAAGTATTGTTACTGTAGGAATAATATATCTTTGGATGGAGAATCAGATTTTGTATATGTATGCTTGTTGAACAAAGTGATTAGTGGTTTATGAATTGTTCCTTTGTACACATTTGTTTGCAGTGGCATTAGTTTAACAGAAACAGTATTTGTTGTGAAACATTGTTACCTAGAAGCTAAAGATCCCAAATGTTCTTATTGCCAGTAAAAGGAGGTTAATAAGCATACAGACTTATCCATGTCTTACGCCATAACATTGGGCTACTCCTGCTGATATTTTTAATAATCAGTTTGATTTGGCCGCAGAATGTTGCACTGTAATTGTGCTCAGATTGTGTCTGTAGGTTCAAAATGACTTCTTCATAATTTTGAAGGTTTGTGATGATGGTGTGTTGTTGAAGCAAACTACTTTCTGGACATCATCTATCAGACGTCCTGAAGACAGAGATAGACTCCAATCTCCGAAGCGTCATGTTTTATTAAATCTGGGACGATGGCTATATGTCGAGGAATTACTTCTTCAGTTGAGCAAACAAATGTAATTGCATGGGGATACGTTCTTTCATCCATGATTTTATTTTAAAGTATATTATACTTACATTTTGATTAATTACACAAATCGAAGGTTTGTGTACAAGACATAATACAAAGCACATAGTATCAGTGTGATTTATAGTGTACAGGTTGTTTCAGATATTCATGTATTAGGTCCAGTTATTCATTGCTTTTTAGAGAGTTATTCATTGCTTTTTAGAGAGTGGCATTTGTTTTCCAGTATTGACGTTTTTATTTGCAATTGTTACTCTGTTTCCAGGAAAGAACCCAACAGATGATTATTTGGAAGGGATGATGAATGAAGCACCAGGTCCCATCAACTTTACTATGTTCCTTACGTTATTTGGGGAGCGGCTGCAAGGCACAGATCCTGAGGATGTTATAAAAAATGCTTTTGGTTGCTTTGATGAAGAAAATAAAGGTGTGATCAATGAGGAGAGATTGCGAGAGCTGCTGACATCTATGGGTGATCGATTCACTGATGAGGAGGTATGATGCATTGTGCATTGAGGGATTGAATATTTTTCTTCTTCTTTTAGTAAAAGGAAAGTAAAGCTATGTGCCATGTAGTTGCTCAGGGGGGAGAGGAGGTTTAGCTCCTACTTGTTCTTAACCTCGGCACCAAATGGGGGTGAGCGGTCAGCATCATGCCTCGACTGCGCTTTACCCCCAAGGATAGGAACCCCGGTACCCATTGGACAGGAGGCTGGGTGGCCTTAGAGCCAGTCTGGATACAGAAGCTGGAAGAAAATTCTCTGCTTCGTTTGGGGATCGAACCCCAATAATCCAGTCCATATTCAGTCACTACACTGACGGAGCTACCCAGCTCTTTCTTCCTCCTCTTTATAAGATATTTCCACTTTATGTGGCCTCTCTATTTGTCTGTCTTTCCACAGTTCCTTCTTTTGTCCTATGTTCCTCCTTCCGTCTCTGTGACATTGAGGTTCTGTAGCAATGAGTAGTTCCTTTTCTCACCACATTACTGTTTGTCTTGTTTGAGTTACAATAACTTGGTATCAGGGCTGTGGAGTCGGAAGCAATTTTAGGTGGAGTTGAAGTTGGTAAAAATGTACTGACTCCGACCCTGATATAAAATCTTCTCTGCCGTGTGAGCCGCTGGCGACGCATTGAGCTACGTGGTGTGGGAATAATGCTTTGTAACTTTGGCAATGGTACCTTAAGAATACAAATCAACCGATTTCTGCAATCACCATTAGACTTATATTTAAATACAGGTTATAAGTCTAAAAAGTAGCCTGATGATTTACGTGGTGGTGATGAAATCTCTTGTGGTACCATTTACCATTTTAGCAGGTTTACCATTATTAATACATATTGAGGTTTTATGAAGGAGCGAGAGCCGGAGGTTTTAATACCAACTCCACAGCCCTGCTTGGTATCTTTATATCAAATTGAAAAGAAACTTGATGATGAGATGGTTTCAAAAAGGGCTTTTTTGTAGGCATGTGAATAAGGCTAGCCTTGAAGCGTAGTGTAAAAATGCAATTTTATGCCCTGTATGAAAGGCGTGGAAAATAATTAAATGCTTGTTGGTATAAAAGCAAATCATGGTAGTAGATGTCTTCACACAGTGACGAGGAGAGATTGGATTGGCAAACAAAGCTGTTTCCTGGAAACTGAAAAACTATAAGACAGATAAGAACTACTAATTTATGGGTTTTTTCAGAACTCTCTGGATTGCCTATTAAAATTGCTCTGCCTGCCTGTTATGCGTGAAACAACTAAAGAATGAATTTGCTGATGTTTATTAAATTGACGGAGAATCTTGTCTTGTCAGTTTTCACTTTTGTGACTGCAGGTGAAATATGCCTTGGCTACTGTGGTTACCTTGATGACCTTGGTTGCCATGGTTATCAATGATGACATCACCCTGCCAGACACATTTCCTATGTAAATGTCATTGACCCCAGACAATATTTTTAGCGCCATTTCCAAAGGCCACACTGGAATTGTTATACTATGCACAGAGTACCTAACTTGTTAATATACAGCGTGAGATGTCTTGATTGTAGGAGCACAATTGCGTTCTGATGAAGACAGTCTTACCAGAAGCTGGAAGTATAATTGTGTAATCATTTAATTTGAAGTCTGAAGTGTTCATTTCTTCCCATACTGGATTACTCAGAAGGCTTAGCGTGTTTGTACTAGAAAACATTATCACATGAGCTGTCGGTCGAATTATAGTTTACTAATCAGATGTGCAATTATCTTCTGAACATGCTGCACATGTATACACACTTCAACAAATCAAAAACCTGTATAAAAGCTTTAATACTAAATTTATATGGACATCAAGGGATGACTATATGTCATGTTGTGGGCCCCTCAGTATAAACATGTGCTTTGCTTTATACATTAAATACATCTTGTGTATGAAAATACATTATCCTATATGACAGCTAAACATCTATATAAATAAAGACCAAAGAGCGTGCTTGTACTGTTTCATATTTACAAATTTCTTTCTTCCTTTGAATAATAACTGTATTTATTCTTCAGGTGGATGAAATGTACAGGGAAGCCCCCATCAAGCACAGCATGTTTGACTATATTGAATTTACGCGCATTTTGAAACATGGTGCCAAGGACAAGGATGACCAGTGATTACTGTGTCATGCGTCTAGAGGATGTGCCTTATCTGTACCACAAAACCTTTGTGCAAAAAGGAGATAACCTCAAAATGGCAAAATCTTCTTTATTATTAAAAATAACA